ATTCGAAATGAAACCCCAAAATGTCTAAATCGCGAGCTGGGCCTCTGCGGTTTCAACCTCGAATTGTCGGCCCAAAATTTTAGGCTGAACTGTTGCGGTTTTGCCTGCCACCGCCTCCTTATATTATGTTATGCGTATAAAATTAGAAATTAGAAATCCCAAAAACACAGACAACATCGCTGCGGAAGCTGGACGACGGAGATAGGAAGAACTCCAAAGCTTCATCCAAACTCTCTCTCTCTCTCGGTGCCGCAATCAACGTATCTTCGTCGCCAGAAAAAGGTAATCTTTCATTCCACCTTCCCTTCTCCTACAACGCCTTCCGGGTTTCGTTTATCTTTTTGTCTTTTCTTCTACTCAGAATTCAATTCTTCCTTTATATATGGGATTCTGAAATTTGTTTGTGTTCTTGATTTCATGTGGGTAATCTGTGTTTGCGACGTTAATAGGTGGGAATGTAGAAAGGATGATTGGTAGTTGGATTAATTAATAAGTCAGCGGTTTGAATGATGGGATTTTTGTTCTAATATAGATTAGGGCTTTTTTAGAATTGTTTCATTGATCTTTTACTAATTTTTTTATATGCTATGGTATGATTGTGTGCTTTAGGAAGTGGGTTTTTATTGAATTTTAGAGGTGATAGGAAGATCCGAAGATATATATGTATATATATATATATATATATTTTATGGAATTGATTGAAAATGTTTAGTTTAATGCAAGATTGCAATGAACTCAATCAGCATTAAACAGAATTCGAGTTTGTAAATTATTTTCTATTTATTCTTTAAATTGCAAGTATGAGATTCTCATACAAGCAGTTAAAATTTCCAGCTTTCTTTGTTTAATTTCTTCCCATCAACATTCCAATGCTGACTGCAAGCGCAAGTGCTGTTGTTCCATCCCTGCCGTCACCTTCAGTTACATATGCTCCACAATGCTTCTTATTTTGGTCCAAATTATTTTGTCTTTGTGTTGTTTTTTTTATTTAGTCTTAAAAAGGTTGTCTCTTTTATGGTAAGTGCTTTGACTACCTTTATTACAATCTTCTTTGATTTATGGCTGCAACATTCTCTGGTAGGTGTTTTTGAGATGGGCTGGAAACCTAGAACTTGTTTTGGTTTTCTAATTTTCAGAGTGAGGTGCAACTTACTGAATTAGGTATAAGTAAACTTTGAAATGACTAAACCTAAAGGAGAGCTTCATACATGTTTAATTGACCAGATAATTGTACCTTTCACTTCCATTATTTAGTTGTTTGTGCTCTGAACAGCCTTTAGGATGAATAAATGTAGACGTGCATATATATATATATATATATATATTGCAGCAATATCTGTGGTAACTAAATCGTGTTGGATTATAGTTGATGATATCAGATATTTAGTTACACGTGTACATTTTCTTTATTCACACTAACATTTTATTATATGTTTGTCTCAGTTAAAACAAGAGGGCTGTGGAACAGGCAAACCAAGCATGCTTCTTATGGTCCAGTGAATCTTCCTGTGCGATTGCAGCCTTCCAGTGCACGTGGGATTCAAAGCAAGGTTGCTGGTAGAAGTTTTGAGCAAAAGCTGTCTGCAACTTTTATATGCACTGCTGCCTTGGTGAGTTTGTGGATGTACTTGATTTCTGCCTTTGTTTTTTCTGATGCACTTTTATATATATATATATATATATAGATATATATAAATTTTTTTGTAATTTTAATGATTTAATATTTGTAACGGACAATGGCGAACCAAATTTTAGATACAAATATAATTTGTGACCAAAACTTCTAATTCTTATGGCTAATTTTTCCATCACAAAAAACCCGTTTCCTTGTAGTCTCTATTTTAGCTTGATTATTTTGTATTTGAAAAGCATAACGTTTTGTTTTCCATCTTAAATTACATTTATAGGTTATTCTTAGGTGGGATCTTTTCACTTCTTTATTTACTACTTTGGTTTCTTTTGCATTTTAAATTTATTTACTTTCAAAGAGAAAGTTGAACGGGTTATACACTTACTCTAACTAAATATTCTCTTTAGTTAAGAGAAAAAAAAAAAAACTGAAATTTCGTTTAATACTTTCTTTTTAAACTCACTCACCCTCAATTCTCATTGCATTTCTTGGATTGATTTTTCAAATTCACCCACAAGAATAGAAATGAATTGAAACTAGCCATTTGTGAAAATAAAAGTTGAAAATAATTACGATTTGAATTTGTTTTCCATTTGGTATAGTTTTGGTTGATAATTTACCACTTCTATGTATATGATTTTGGCTTTTAATTTCCAAAACCTTTTCCACTTAGTAATATTTTTATATGATATTTTGTCGTGTTATTTTATTTGTTAAATTGTTAATTTTTACTTTTATTTTGATATATATGTTTTAACTATTTTTATTTTGTTATAGGATTATAAGTATCCAACATATGCTATTGAGGGAGCTTATCTAAGGTATGCCAGTCTTTTTTTAATTATATAATTATACGATTTAGTTTTTTGTAAATTGTATATTTTAAATGATATTTTTAATTTCATTATTAAGTTTATAATTGTATTTTTAAAATTCTCTGCCTTCAATTACA